TCAGATTCTGCTCACAACTATTTGTTTCTATTAATGATATGTATTCTCATTTGTGGCAACGTCCGCGGGGGGTCTATTTACGTAAGCCTGGCAACTCTTGGCCCTCGAGACGAAGAGTCAAATGATGTTTTCCAAACCTCTCTGTTTTTTTCGTTCTCGAGGGCAAGAAAAGTGTTTTGACAATGCCCCCCCTTTCTGGAATTTTTCCCACAGCAAGCAAGGGGCTATTTAAGTGAACCCTGAAAAAGGAACGAGGAGTTTTGTCGTAAACCTTTGATCTACGCTGTTTCTCTTGCAATCCACACGCGTCGTTCGCATTCTTGTAAAAATTAGTTTTTAAGTGTTGGTTAAAATACATATACAGTAGTGCACACATGAGCGTCCGCACTTTTGCACACTTAAGCGTCCATCGCTATCCCCACCAATTCTTGGAAATGGGACGTCGGAGTGGAGTTCGAGCGTGCCGAGTGAAACAAAATACTAGAGTAAATTCTCTACAAGTGTCAGTCAGTTTGGATTCTACAAGTGTCAGTATAGATGGTCCTGCGCCTATGTTGCGTCATTGCTGCGCCCATGTTATCTCGCTCGCAGTCAGTCAAGTGTCTAACGCTACACCAGTCGATTTCCTTTACGAGATTTCACGGCTCGACAATTCATAATAGAAAAATATAATTCCTTTAATTTTACTTTTTTTCATCTGAAATTTTTTTTAACATGTTGGTGAGATTTTTCTGATGAAAATGATATCAAACACGATATAATTTGAACAACATTTACTTATTACAGTGAAATACCTGGCCTAACAGTGAACGTGTTAATAAGTAAATGTTGTTCAAATTATGTCGCGTTTGATGTCATTTTCATCCTCACGTTTCATCCTTATCTTTTATTCGCTGTTCTTGTCCTACGTTTGGCAAACTACAAAGGCGGGCGCGAGGCTCGAAAACGTAGTCCCTGACTCTACAAGTGTCAGGTTTAGGTTCCTTGCGGACGGACACTTGTGGAGAATTTACTGTAATTCGATATCGACTCCTGAATGTGAACAACTGACATTTGATATATCGGTATCCCACTCAGACACATCTCCTCTCTTTTGTTTAGTTAAATTCGCAGAAATCATCTCCCCACTTAAGCGTCCGCAGTCGGTCCCGATAAGTCGGTCCCAGGATGAAATTTTCAGCGTGTGTATCAATGACATAGATCTACAAAACGTATTTTTTAAATTTTCATTACGAGCTCAGATAAAAAAGTTGTAAAAACGACCTTTGCTATTTTCTTCGCGATTCCGACTAATTGCAGTTTTTTTAAAAATTTATGCAAACGTCAGAATGACGGTAAAAAACCATTTCTCTAAGCCTTATAAAAATGGCGGTGCAAAGTTAAATTTTTTACTTCTTCACGTTAGCGCGAGGGTGAGTCTCTGTTCGCCCGTCCCTGGGCGCGGGCTCTACGCGCGCTCTGATTGGCCAGTGTTTTTCGTTAATAATTCAAAAACGAAGCTTCAAGCAACATTTTGGTAAAGGAAAAAGTTGTTCAGAGTCACCCTAGCAACTCCCCATTTCCGGGTGCTCGAAGAGTTACGGGACACCCTGTATTAAGAGCGTAAATTGCACAAATACGCTGTCGTATGGTTTTCAGATGTTGCTCACATTCAAAGGATACGGTTTAACGACAAAAAGTTATTTATATTGCACATTAATTACAGTAATTTTTAATTTGATGCAATCATGAGAAAGTTATTTTTTTAATCATCTACAGTCGAAAGTTAATTTTCGTGTCTATTAGATTATAGAAAACATGAAATGAAGACTAGTAATAAGTAATAAAACTAGTATCTTTTTATAAACAGTGCTTTTGATTTACGAAGGATTAAACATTAAAATTCTCTGTAGAGAGTTATCAATAAATTTAACAAATTTTCTAATTACAGATGTTACTGTTGTGCTCTATCTTTTTTCCCGCAATCGGCTTTACTATGGCATGATTTAGCTTTATGCTATTTCAAGCAACTACAATTTGATCCGTCGGTTGATCATAAAAATCTTGCCAGTAAATGTCTTGCGGCTGCGAAACATGCTGTAAGACTATGTCCTTCGTCGTGGTTACATTGGAATCTTTTAGGTGTTATTTGTATGTCACCGTACATAAAGAATTACGCTTTGGCACAACATGCTTACGTCATGGCAATTGACAGGGAGTTAAATAATGCTATGGTGTGGTCTAACTTGGGAACTTTATATCTATGCATAGGTATTTGAAAGTTTCAATATATACAATAGTAACAAATACACTATATTATGTGTAATTAAATATGATAGAGTTTATTTGTGAACCTCAACTGCGTGCCTGAATATTTATGAATAGAAGCGTATGTACATATAATTACACACAATACTCAACAAATTCGGCGAAAATTGGCAAATTTCATTAATAATATCTCTTTAACACGTTCGCTGCCACAGAGGCAGCATATGCAGCTCAAAATTGCCCTGCGTGCCAGTGTTGACAATGTTTTTGCCGCTCCTATGCGATGAATGACTACCGCCACGATTCAATCTTCCGTTGAACGCTGAGGCAGTATGTGATTGGTGACACACAGGATGTCCCTTACGATTTTCGGATGGCAGCGAATGTGTTAACACTATTAAGCTACGAGAAGAATGTTACAAAATATTTTGTTCAGAATCACTTCTATTAGAAATGGTTGCTAAATTTTTAATCACGTGTTAGAGAATATCGTGACACTTTTCATACATATAGAGATTTTCGTGAAATGCCTAAGTAAAAGTTCGTGTAATTATATATTTTACTATGCAGCATAATTAAATGTTAAATTATCATTTTATAACTGAAGAGGTATTCACTGTTTAAACAATGTCGTATTTTCCAAAAATTTAATTTTTCACTTTTTAAATATTAACTGGTTCTTTCATTTATAAAAAACTTTAAATTCATATGAATTTACGTGAATTTTCTATAACAGGAAAATTACATAAAGCAAACGAGGCTTATCGTCAAGCACAACGTGAAGATCCAGCATATGTAAATAGTTGGATAGGACAAGCTTTAATTGCTGAATTGATGGGCAGAAAAGGAGAAGTAATGGATTTATTCAGGCATGCTACAGAACTAGGATATCATAATCAAGCAGCATTGGGATATACGCATTCGGTACTTAATGTGATCTTAAATTACGATACTAAGGACGCTTTAAATACATATATACTAGAAAATATGCACGGTATACATGTTGCGACTGACGTTATGACCTGGTATGTAGGTAAGTTTATATTATTTTTCACATATCATAGCCATAAGTAGAGTAACGTTGACTTGAATGTTCCTGGCTCAATCTGGTCAGCGACATTGAGCTGAGTAAGTAAACTATGTGTTGCTTCAGCTGTTCAGTTTTACTAGGTTCTGGTTCACTTGGCTGAGAATACGTCGTGAACAAGACCAAGGAACCTGTGGGAATAGATAAAATAGTGTAAAATGTTACTTATAAGGGAACTTCGGTAACCCAAAATGTCCGATTTGTTTGAAACTGTGTGGGTTTGTAGGGGACCTCAAGAGAAGTATCGGGCAATTTTTTTTTTGGCCCAATTTCGGTTCTTCGGGGTGAAAACAGCCCCCCCTGGCCGTGCGGGTAGGCCTCTCGGTAGTAGACCGCACGTTAAACTGCACACTGATAGTGTACTTTTATGTGGAGAATTTTCTTAAAAATCGATATACATAAAAAAAAATGCAAATCCATTAAAAGAAAAGGTGTACATAAATTTTTAAATTGCATCCTTACATTTACTAAAAAAGTAAATTTGTAGGAAGATAGATTTCTTCTTGTACCATTTAACTTTTTTCTATCTTTAACCAAACACGAGATATAATCCAGCACAATTGCAGGCACACCCTGTGTATTATCTTTATATTGTTATATGTATATACGTTATTTGAAATTGTTTGTAACCATTAATTAAAGGTATTATTAAGGGTATTTCAAAAATGTGCAATGTCTGGACACCGTTTACAGATGACCATTATGGTAGTTAATATAGTGTTACAAATGCTTTCATTGTAAGAATGATTATAGTCACTTGTGACTGTTCAATCTTTCTACTCCATAGAGGGTGGCTCCGCTAAATGGGATAACCTAAATATCTGCTTGATTTGTCGTTGTATGAAAAAACTTCTCAGGACAAAGTTACGCTATTTCAGGGGGCACATGTAATCGTGCAACGGTTTTTTTCACACGATCATTCTTTTACGAAATTTAAAGGTTATCGCTATTTTTTTTAATGGAACACGCATTCCGCACTACTGTACAGTGTACGCGCTTTTTCGAGTTTGATCTCTGCTATGTTGAAGGAGTTCATTAATTTATAAATTTATTTTACATATTGTATATTTGATTTTACATATCGTATTATTATCATATATTACAGAGCGCCATCCAAATGATTGTTATGCTCGAAATGCATATGGATTATTATTAGAAAGGCAGAAGCTTTATAAGTCTGCTGTAGAACAATTTGCAGCAGCTTTACGTATCAGTATTAATGACGAAAAGGATTTAGTATGTATCAACTTAGTACGTGTACTAATACAACTTAAAAAGTATAACGAAGCCATAAAATTATGTGAAACAGTTAAGAAAGCCAACTATAATTCCCAATGTCATTTAGCATTAGCTTTATTTAAAGGTAATTATTTCCATGTTAATATGTATATATTAATAAGTCACATGCAAATTTTAATGAAATCTATCTATGATGTAGTACTCAAAAAGATATTCGAAACGAATTTTTTTTTTTCGACTATTATCCACATCTGGTGGATGAGAGTGATGCTTAACGTGTTCGCTGCCACCTGAAAATTGTAGGGACATGCCGTGTGCCACCGATTCATAGTCTCAGCTAGACACGTAAGTAGCACACTCACGCTGTCTTAACGTTCAACGTCGTCCATCGCACAGGGAAAGTCGCGGCGTTGATCGATCAACGGCATTGGGACTCTGGGCAAAACATTTCGACGGTGGCAGCGAATGTGTTAAAATAGGGATGAAAATCATATTTCCTAAAATTTCTCAAAAACTATTGGGTACGAAGAAGTGGTTTAAATAGCAAAATTGAATGTTTTGAAACGAGACATTCAACTATGTAAAGTGTTCCTCGAATCGGTGTAACGGCATTCGGAACCGGGGTAAGGGAAGTTATCACGTTCTCGAGCACAGTGTTTATGAGACTGCGGAAACTCGCTCCAGCGTAGTGAGGTAGAGACAGGGTTTGAAACTGTTAAATGTCGGTCTTGACTGTCGTAAGACTACTCTCAGTTGTTAAAGTTTAACTTTATTTCACACTTTTTACAATGATTCTGGATACAATATGAACAGAGGTTCGTTCCTTACTCGTTTACAAGAATTTACTAACAATGAGTTAGGAATGGTTGAACCGTAATCGAGTATGGAGCGAATTATTGCTCTGTACGTTTCTATTAGAGTTTCTTGATCAGCCCCCAGTTTTTCTTTTTGTAAACACTTTAATGATGTCTATTCTTTTAATGCAGGATTTTTTAAGTATTTCAAATGTGGTATCCACGACAGCTTTTTATCAAGAATGAGACGAATTGAAAATATAATTTAAGTACGTATTTATGCTGTTTTATATATTTCCGATCAATGTTAAAAAAAATTACCCGTAAGTCTCGGTGAAACTCCTACGTCCCATACTATAAATCAATGATTTTCACATTATCACGCATTCCAAACGAGTAGCCTCCCAATCCGAACTACATATAAAATAGGCTATTTTAACCCTAAAAAAAAATTCTACGACAAGTTTGAAACACCCCCGGACTTAGAGGGTTAATGCAAATGGGCGATAGGTATCTGGCTTTGGTTTGCTTTTGTTAGATTTTAGGATTGGGATTACTACAGCTTTTCGCCAGTTATCGGGAAAAACTTTGTGGGACCATATGCAGTTATACAGTGTCCCGTAAATAGTGGTACAAGCGAGCAGGGGTGATTCTACGTGAAAAACTGAATCGAAAATGTCGAATAAAATTTTTTCCTAAGAATCCTTGTTTTCGAGAAAATTGAATTTAAAAATTCGTCCAGCGCGCATACATTTAACTATCTCTCAGCTTTACATTTGTACTAATAAACAATACCAATGTTATGATAAGTATCGATAATACATTTATTAACGATTTCCTGAATTTTCATTACTAAACGATCGTTGAAAGTGTTAACGCATATAAATCCTTGCTCTTTGAATCGGAGAGTCGTGAACTTGATGATACGGTATTTTGACGCTTTAATTGTGTAAAAACCTGTACGATTTTTTCTTTTAGCTGCAGATTTGCACTATCTTCTGCGTAGACTATTTCTTTGCAAAATGTTACATTGCCACCGTTTCTTTTTAATTCAATTTTCTCGGAAGCAAAGCCTCGTATGAACAAATTTTATTCTACATTTTCGATTTAGTGTTTCGCGTACAATCACCCCCTGCTCGCTTGTACCACCAGTTACGAGGCACCCAGTATACATATATTCAGAAGGTGGTTTATTCCAGATTCTGGAAGAATTTGTAGAAGTAGATTTAGGATATTGTCTGGGCCAGGAGCAGAGTTTTTTATTGTTTGGAGAATGGTGTGAATTTCATTGATTGATATTGGTAGATTTAGCATGAGGTTGGTGGTGATCAGATCTGAGTGATTAATAATGTCTTTCAGGTGAGAATCTTGAGTAAGATCATTTGCAGAAAAAGATGGGCTGTAGTTACTGTTGCTGGAGTTTTGTTTGAATTTTTGATTGAATTTTTCTGCAAGTGTGTTAGCGATATCATTAGCTTGCCTTGCGGTATTGCTTCTTCAGTGTCAAGAAATTGAATTTTATATTAATTTTGAATTCAATTAAGTGTTCGATTGTAAGGTTTCTCTGCAGGATGAATGTGTGGGAGACGGGGGAATAAATGTACGCGTGATGATCGCGCTTGAAATCCTTTATTCGGAAAACCAGGCGAAATGTCTCGTGTCATTAGCCGATGTCGCTCGAGTCACTTTTGGCCGTTGACTGCTCTTCGCGTCGTCGGTCGGGACCCTGGCTGCCCTCGGAACGGATCTCAAGTGCCTCTCCGAGGACAGCCATCGGTATCGGCCCGCCACTGTACATATCGACGCCGACGAGTGACACGTCCGTTGCGTGACTTTTCGTTTACATTGTGGCGCCGTGCGCGCTGCAAGGTCCGCCACAAATGCATAGTGACTTTCTTGCAAAGCGACTTTGCATTCTTCGTTTTATCAAGGAACGGTTTTTTCCGATGTTTTGTGTGTTTGGTGGGCTCGAAGACTTTATCCTCTGCTGATGCTATAATTGATTCAAATCATTTGTTGTTTCACTGATCAGGGTTGGATTAATTTCGATGTTTGCTTCTTTCTCCGTAAGTTAGTGCGTAATGAAAGTTTGATATAATGGCCGTGTAAGGAAAAAGAATGACCAGGCGCGTATCTGAAGTTAAAACTTTATTAGTGTGGGTTCGCTTGGTTAGCCGTTACTCGGTGACTCTCTAAGCGAGACTGCCTTTCCGGCTAGGAGAGCCCCTTTGTCCCGCCGTTCCCAAAAAGGCGTCACCAAGGGCCTCGAGGGTTGGTCGCCGATGTTCGTGGATTAGCCGATGTCGCTCGAGTCACTTTTGGCCGTTGACTGCTCTTCGCGTCGTCGGTCGGGACCCTGGCTGCCCTCGGAACGGATCTCAAGTGCTTCTCCGCTTTCCGAGGACAGCCATCGGTATCGGCCCGCCACTGTACATATCGACGCCGACGAGTGACACGTCCGTTGCGTGACTTTTCATTTACATTGTGGCGCCGTGCGCGCTGCAAGGTCCGTCACAAATGCATAGTGACTTTCTTGCAAAGCGACTTTGCATTCTTCGTTTTATCAAGGAACGGTTTTTTCCGATGTTTTGTGTGTTTGGTGGGCTCGAAGACTTTATCCTCTGCTGATGCTATAATTGATTCAAATCATTTGTTGTTTCACTGATCAGGGTTGGATTAATTTCGATGTTTGCTTCTTTCTCCGTAAGTTAGTGCGTAATGAAAGTTTGATATAATGGCCGTGTAAGGAAAAAGAATGACCAGGCGCGTATCTGAAGTTAAAACTTTATTAGTGTGGGTTCGCTTGGTTAGCCGTTACTCGGTGACTCTCTAAGCGAGACTGCCTTTCCGGCTAGGAGAGCCCCTTTGTCCCGCCGTTCCCAAAAAGGCGTCACCAAGGGCCTCGAGGGTTGATCGCCGATGTTCGTGGCGGCTCAGTCCTCGGGCCCGATATCGCCTGCTCCTAATACAATGAACATCCGGGCTAGCCGCCCGAATCCCCGTCTCGACGGCGTCCTCGATTTCTCTTACAGCCGCTTTGATTTTTCGATGTTCCATTTTGGCTGGTGGAATATTAGAGAAGGAGTGGAGTTGTTTTCGTGGGTTATCTTGATAGGGAAATGATCGCTGTCGTGTAAGCTCTTGATGGTTTCCCAATGTAGTTGCTGGGCTAAATCTGGGCTGGATAAGGTTAGGTCAATTGCACTCATCTTTCCGTTATTGACATTGAAATGAGTTGGAGATCCGGTATTTCACACTTTGACGTCCATTCTCATTACGTCACTTCGCCGGGCGAGCGGTAGTCGGCAAATGTCAACGTAATAGCTAATAACACTTTAATATTTTTTTTCAAGAGAATGGTTGAGTTGCGACCCATGTTTCGTTTGACACTTTTTCTCCTCGCGATAAGCAGAATACGATACAAGCAAATGTGTGTGAAAATCATGCTCGAGATCAATTTTTTTAACGGCCATATATCGTGGGTTGTGAGAATCACTGTACCCCCTATGTCTTAACGTGTGTGCTTTATGTTCGTTAGGGTAGGTAAGGTTTGCTCGGCTATAGTGATATTTTTAAATATTAATAACTAAAAAGCGAAGCCTCTAACGCAATTTTTTATTCTTGATTTTCGTCTTGTATCGGCTTCTAGAATCGCCCCTTAAATTTTTTACCAACAATTGCCGAACATCCTGTGTTTGAAAAAAAGAATAGATACGTACAAGGAGAACATAAGAAGTGTAACTCTCGGACTTCGATGAAATTTTGCACGTCGATAAAAAATCGAAAGATGTACGCTCAATAGTTTTCGAGATATTTAACAGTAAAGGTTAAATTCATCTGCTGGTGCTGTAAAAATCTAGAATAAGTGGCAAAATCAAACAGGTCGCTGATGTAACGGTTATGGCTAGTATTTAAACGAAGGGCTCCTGGTTCAAATCGAACTCAGGTTAAAATTGTTTTTCCATCTATATTGTTTCAATTTAATTTCCATATTACTTTAATTTCCATAATATATAAAAATATGTAAATGTGTTGTATAATTTTGAGTTATACAGGATATATATTCCGTGATGAAACCGACAATCTTCGCCTATGTATTTTTAAGGTCATTCTGAATAATTAATGTTATATAAACAATGGGTCATTCAGTTGCGTTATACAGATATGAGCCGAAATACTGATACGTCTTATAATCGCGTTAGAAGATTATATTCCCGTTCTGATGGGGATGAGCTGTTCGTCATCTCACAGGAGAATCTTGCAGAGATTTTCTGCAAAACTATCTACCCTTGTATTTCGAAAACGTGTCATTAGAATCATGACGCCGCACGTGGATATACCACGACGGAACATCTCCCCATGCTACCAGGGACGTAATGAAACTTTCGCTGGTCGATGAATAGGAAGAAGTGGACTTGTGGCATGGTAACCATGGTCACTTGACTTATCCTGTTTAGATTTTTTCTTTTTTTCTTTTTACGTGGGGAAATCCTCATGGACTCCCCGCCCCCGGTCTAACCCCACGGTGGCCATCCTGGACATTCCGGGGGTGGGCCCGGGATCTCGAACGAACGCAACCGGACCCACCCCACGCCGGGCCCCTCCCTCGAGATGTTCAAGGAGGGAGGGGCGCCATCCCGGAGGGGGTCTAAAGGACCCCCTCTCTAGTCCGAGGCGCCGCCGGGACCACGCCGGCTACGCCCCCACCGCGGGTCGCGTGCAATGGGCTGTCGAGTCCCCCCTCGGCCCCGGCCGTCCGCACAAATACTTGGGCCTGCCCTGCCTCCCGTTAAGGAGACGGGGCCTCCCTGCGCGGGCGGCCACCAAACCGGAACCCGGCGGGAGGAGAGTACCTTCTCCCCTGGGCCCGTGCACTCGAGTTCCTCGGAGTCGTGAACTTCCGTACCGCGACCGATGGAAAAAGTCGGTCGCGGCTCCTGAGGTCTAGATTTTTTCTTATAGAGTTACATGAAATCGAGGGAGAATTCAAATAGAAAGCCTGATACACGTGGACTGCTAATAATAAGCATCAATGAATCCGCTGTTAGTATTAGTAACGATCTTGCTGATATTCAATGGAAGTGCGTCTATTTGCGTACATAGAGGTACGAGGTGCACATTTTCAACAATACGTATAAATATCAGTGCAATATGTCAGTGTCAAATACAATTTCACAAAATTTGGAATAAATAAAAGTTAAGTAGCTTGAACGCGTCTGATTATTTGTAATTTATATCAATACATCTTCTGTATCTTGAAAACGATGACGAATTGATTCATGGTATATAGAACGCGTTTTGCTTGGAATAACATTCTAAACATGCTGGCGAAGATTGTCGGTTTTGTCGCAGAACACCCTGTATAAAGAGCGGAAGCTTTATCAAATATTTAAAATAGAAAGAGAATTACGCCCACCGCAAATATAATATAATATTCAGTTCGAAAAAAGTTCGTAGCGTTTTTAAAGTGAAAAACACTCGGACAGCCACGCTTGGGTCCGTTTGGACCCCACTTTGATACTTGCTGCCGTGCATCCTTTGTTTACGTTAAAGCGATAACGAAGTGAGCGTGCCTTAAAAGATGCATTTAAATAATATATAGTAATATAAAATTGAAACGAAAATTTATTTGGGTCCAAATTGACCCAGGCGTAACCGCATGCGTAAGTCGCCCGACGGCCCGCCGTCCGAGTGTTAACGACAATGTCTAGATATTTGTAGATAGATTTAATCAACCACATACGTGCCATTTTGTTCCACTATCTTTCACCATCTTTGAGGCAGTTTCATGATTCTATCCTTCCGGAACTTGGCATCTTTCTGGGCGGTGAACTGGTCTACATATATAGGTGGTTCGACAACAAACACTACGAACTTTTGTTCCAACCCAATATTTATCATGTAATTATAGTGTGCTAAATATTATAGTTTGAAAAATAAAAATTTATTTTTATATGCAGAAAAATTCGCGAATTTTAGCAATTTGCATTAGCAACGTTCCGTTCATTCGTAACACTCGACGGCTTGTTTCCTATGACATGTTGTTTAAAACACATCTCAGCCTTTTCTAAATCAATTGACAACACTTTTTTTTTAGCCCATACATATTACATTATAAATATACACCCATCCCTCCATTTACGCGGATTGACCGTTCCGCGTTGATTTTTTTTTACGCGGATAAAAATCGCGTAAATAGAGCCTGCTTGTATTAGGTTGTCCGTAATTTAAACCATCGTATCTCTGTTTCTAATTGACATAGTGACAAAAGGTAAACGGTACTTTCCTCGACAATTAAAGGTGAATCCAACGCACTGCTCAAATTTTTTGTAAGATGAACAGGGATGGATATAAGTCGAACTATGTTCTCTGCATTGGAGCGAGGATGTTGAATTTTTCGTGGCAACGCTCCACGGCAGAAAATATAGTTCGCCTTAGAAGTAATTTCAGGGATACATCGGATTTATCTTCGAATAACGAGTAAAATACCTTTCGATTTTTGTCGCTATCTCAATTAGAAACAGAGATACATCAGCTTGAAATCTTCCGATATTTCGTTACGAACTTTCCGAACCACCCGGTATGTACTTCCTCATTCGCCTTATGAATAATTTGAGGAGTGCGTTGGGTTCGTCTTCAAATAACGAGTCAAATACCTTTTGGTTTTTGTCGCTATCTCAATTAGAAATAGAGATACGTCAGTTTGAATTTTTTCTTAAATTACGAAACGAACTTTTCGGACAACCTGACATGAAAAAAAAAAAAACATGGTAAGAAAAATAGGTGTAAGTTGTAAAAACATTTAAATCGCATAGGTTAATAAAAAAAATAGTGATATTTCAGAAAACCAAAATAAGTATCTGTACTGTAAAACTTAAATTGTAGGACAAGAGGTTAGAAACAAAACCCCAGAAAAGATCAGAGTTATGTAATTAGTATGTTCAAGTAAGAATTTGCGTCTCTCTTATATGTAATAAATTCAATGAAAGTTTATAGAAAACTGAATCTATCTGACCGCGTAAATGGAGGGATGGGTGTAATTTGCAGTAAATTTAATTGCAGATTTATGTATTTTATTCTACGTATGCAAAATTTGTTTTCCCTCTAGCTGCACAATATGAAGAGTCCTATAACACCTATGAAACAACACTGCATTTGTTCACGAATACTGAAGAAGAAAAATCTTACATACTGTGTGCTATGGCTGCAATAGCATACACTTTTCGAAGAGTACACGATGCAAAAATTTTGCTTTTCCAATGTATACAAATACAGCCACCAGTTATAACAGGTCTCTTAGCAGCTGCATCACTAGGAATCCTACACAGAGACGTCAATTTAACCACCTTAGTATTGAATGAATTGAAATCGTATGAAAGTCATCCTGAATATGGTCATCATGTTGTCAACTTATCTGCATATGTTCATTTACTTAGAAATGATATAAAAAGTGCTACTATCGTTCTTTCGAAAGCAATCTTCATGTACCCTGGTAAGTAATTACGCAAAAACATAGTGAAACATGTGATAGGGATGTAATAACTGAATGCGAGCTATTCCATGTCACATTACACAAAATGGATTTATACCAGATTACCTTACAATATACATTATTCTTATGTTTTGTTCACAGGTGACGTAAAACGTTGGATACGGCTACTCAGGCTTTTATTCGAAACAGATTTGCAGGCGTTTAATAAATGTGCTGAAAAAGTATTGTATTTCAGTAAAAATATTCCTACTGAAAGTGTTGCACATATTGCGTGTGCATTATCTTGTAGTTGTTTCACGCAACGTTTCGAACCGAAAAATATTAGATCCTTGCAAAAACTTTTATTTACTTATCCTGGCAATATTGAAAGTTGGGCTACGTTCATAGCGGCATTTCTATGGAGGTTTGTCGATGAATATTGTATTTAATTTAAAGAACATTTCAGTGCATCGTAAACATGTTTATGGTTAGAACTTCATCTATTGACATGTTATTCATATTTATACAAGCCACCCTATTTTAATCTACTAACACAGAATAAGTGTTTCGGTAAATACAGGGTGTCCTGTAACTCCTCGAACACCCGGAAATGAGGGGTTGCTGGGGTGACTCAACAACTGTTTCCTTTACCAAAATGTTGTTTGAAGCTTCATTTTTGAATTATTAACGAAAAACACTGGCCAATCAGAGCGCGCATAGAGCCCGCGCTCAGGGACGGAGAACAGAGGCTCATTCGCGCGCGATTCCGACTAATTGCAATTTTTTCAAAAATTTATACAAACGTGGGAATGACGGCAAAAAACCATTTCTCTAAGCCTTATAAAAATAGCGGTGCAAAGTCAAAATTTTCTAACAGCGATCGATAACCGAGAAGTCACGCGTACGCATTTGTTCACGATCGCGCGCGGATGAGAGTCAGCGCTCCCGTGCAATAATTTCCAACGCCAACCCGACCTTCCAACCATCAAGAAGCGCGGGAAGCTGCGTTATCAGACACTTTGATCTCGTAATCGTCACAACGTTTTTTACAATCAATTTTTATAATTAATTTAGCTTTATTTAGTGTTATTTATAAACATTCATATTCAGTGAAAATGTACAATCAAAAGAAACAAGCGCGGTCGCGCCGTTTGGCACTTTCCGGTCAGATTTCTGCAATGATCCGTGGCACTTAAAGAGTTAACAAGTAGTATTATCCTATGGTACGATTTTTTTCGAAAGTCCATCGGTGCACTTGCAACGTGCAACTGCACGTTTTTTTAAAAAGGAAACATACAATTTTTTTTACATACATTGACTGTTCGAATAATTTTGTGAATAAAAGGTATAAGAAGAGGTCATTGAAAACTCAATATTTTACGAGATGTTTCACTTTCTTCAAAAATTTACAAGTACTCAAACGTTTCACCGTTACATTCTAAATATTTTTTTCAGATGTTTCTTCACGTAAATTTTCGAGAAAAGTGAAATATCTCCTAAAGTATCTATTTAAAGTTTTCAATAACCTCATCTTATACCTTTTATTCACAAAATGATTCGAAGAGTCAATTTATGTAAACAAAATTTTGTGGTTCCGTTAAAAAAAAGAGCGCAGTTGCACTTTACAAGTACACCGATTTGCTTTCGAAAAAAATCATATCATAGGATGATAGAGTTTGTTTAAAAAAAGTTTCTTTTCGAACTTCACTTGGAATAGAGCTTAAATTGCCTGTTCCACTTGCTAGAATCTCCTTGTATACTCAAATGAGTAATCCATAAGCACATGTAACATGATTTTTCAGAAGAATATTCATGCACAGGCCCAATTATCCTGCAAAAAGTTGGTAGAAGAATAGATGTGCACATCTGCATAAATTATTGATGCTATATGTAATTTTTTCTTCCATATGTGTTTAGGTAACTTTTAAAAAACCATTTACAGGTATGCAGATAAGAGCTGTAATATCGATGGTACGTGGCTTTTAGAATTTCTGTCAATTATGGAACGTAATTACCAGCCATCAAACTTAATGGCTAAATGGATAAATGACAGTAAACTAAAACTGGAACAGCTTAATCAATCTACAAGCCAGTCGTGAACAATGATGTGAATGTCTATGTTGGGTCAATTACGACCCATATAATTTTGGTAATATATGTGCTTTAGATACAGTTTTTGATATGTTTTCCATACTAAATATAATCTTATAATACTTATAATAAATAGGACGAGAAATATATTCTTTATTTTCTTCATCTATACGTACTCTACATATGAAATAATATTTGTAGAAATCAAAATAAATACTACCTTCAGCGCTGTATTATTTTAACTTTCTATATATTCACTAAAAGTATACATAGTCTCTTAGATTTTTTTTATTTTATTGGCACTTGAAAGTCTGTACGCAGTAATGGTTTATGTTAAAGTAATAAAATTGATTCATGCAGATGAATGTCAACTATATTCTTTTAGTTACTATTAAAAAGATAAGAACGAATCAAATGTAATCCAGCAGCCACTAAGAACTATCAACATAAAGTGTACGCCAAAAGTCAAAGATCGGCGAAACGTAGCTGTGATTGGTTACTCCTTATCAAGACATCTTCTAAGTTTCGTTTAAACCAGAAACGTAATTTGACCTGCCGAAATAAAGAAAGAATTCCCTGCACTACATCTACGATCTACACCCTTGACACCGATCGGCGCCATCCGCAGTGAACGTCTTGACACATTCACTGCTACTAGAAAATCGATAATAACACGCTGGGCAATACATTCTGGATCGCATATGCTGCGTCGATGGCAGCGAACATGTTAAAAAAAGTTATTCATTTATGCATTATACAAATAATATAAATGAATAGTACTTGTTACATATAAATGAAATTATGTCCTACTTATTTTATCATATTATATTTTCACTGTATATTTGATTGATGTAACTGTATTTGTAATTGGGGGTTCTAAAGGATTGAAAGAATAAAATGTGTGTAAAAAAAAGAAGAAAAAATAAAATGCATGATATACACCTATCCCCCGATTTACACTGAAGATGTTCCTTAGAAAACTGTGTAAATCGACAACAAACTAAAATGTGCATAATTCAGTCATTTATTTCAACGTAAAATAAAACTAAATATATCTTAAAAAACATAAAAATAACGGTCTATTCATAAAATGATAAAAATATAAAGGTATATGTATGTAATTCATTTTACATATAGAAACAAGAAGTATAAATTAAAAAATTTAACCAAAAATTTAATTACTGTTATCACTTTCATAGACTATTAATTTTTTATTCCTGGTTGGTATGATATCACTTTCATCACTCGATAGTACTTGATGCAATTCAAGTTTGATGTTAGATGAATTAGGAACAATTTCAGATCGGCCAGCCTTGGTAATGAAATCTGTAATTAACAATTGTGTTTGGTTTTTGATCAAATCTTTATAGACCTCCTCATATTGAAACCGTGTAAAAGTGAAATCATATAAATAAAGTACAGTGTAAATCAGGGAATAGGTGTATTAAAAATTTCTTAAAAGAGAGATACATAAGGGTCAGAATTAACAACTTATCAAATTCTACGATTTTACAAAATGGGGTTTCACAAGGTTCTATGCTAAGCATAACATTATATTTAATCTCAATCAACGCCATTCTTTCCCAAATATGCATACCAGTCAAAGCCTTCCTCTTTGCAGACGATTTAACCATCTCATATAAAGGAATACACACCGAAACCACGGAATACATACTTCAAAACACACTAAATATACTACAAAACTGGGCAGCAAAAAATGACTTGAAATTTTCCAAAACCAAAACTAAGTATATTATTTTCTCTAAATGACATACTCCACCTAAAATCAAGTTGATGCTGGGCAACTCAGAACTCAAAGAGGTCACTGCAATTAAAATCTTAGGTATGATATTCGACAATAAACTAACTTGGAAAGCTCACATCACAAACCTCAAAAATGAATGCAGCACTCGTCTAAATATTTTAAAAATACTGTCAGCCAACACTTGGGGAGCAGACAAAAATGTCGTAATAAAATTATATCGATCTATTGTGAGATCTAAGTTGGATTACGGCTCAATTATTTACAATGCAGCAAACAAATCCACCCTAAGAAAATTAGGCACCATACATAACACCACCATGAAAATAGCAACCAGGGCATTCAAGACCAGCCCCACCTTAAGTGTCCTAAAGGAAGCCAACGAGCTACCTCTCAAATATAGAAGAAAACTCCTAAGCCTCACGCAGGCTATAAAAATCTCCAGCACTCCAAAAAAATCGTCATTTAACAATACATTCACTGACCGCCTTATCGACAAATATGAATACGAACAAGAACTAAATATCAAATTCACCCCTACCATTTCGCATAAGATACCTACCGTCCTACCGTGGATTATACTTCCATTGGAAATAGATTTAAACCTATCAGTATTCAACAAAACAAATACTAATCCAGAGACATACCGTTGCATAGCCATAGAAACACTTGATCACCATGAGAACTACACTCTGTTCAATTTAAAAGTAACCTCGCTCTCGAACCGATTTTCGTCCGTTCTGCGCAGTTCCCACTATGTACTACCTACCGATGTGATATATGCGATTGGTCGTAGCGCCATTTCGGCTAGGCCCAAAACTGACGACAATGTAAACAGTGCATAGAGTGGAGAGTATCTACCCAGTGCACAGTGGGCCAGAAATCCCCCAAAACTGGCCAAAAGTCGATTTGAGAATTAGCGTAAAAAAGACATATCATCATACTCAGGAATAGTTAATGTACATATCTACAAAATATTTTGTTGATTCAACAATTCCTGTTCCATTGGCATTGATCTAAAGTTGGAAAACGCTTTGAAATTGCTGGTATGTCTCTTTCTGGTAACATGAATGTTATTCATCAATTTATGTATAATTTATGAAATTTTTTGTTAATTTATTCATTTATAGATACATAGCAATTAAGAATAACACAGATAAGTTACGAAAGTTTACTAGAAATTGTAATATTTTATTCTTTATTGTCATACTGTAACCATATTTCGCAGTATGTTCACATTTCAATTCAGGGTTCCCCTAAGTTCGTTCCCCTAAGTTCCACCTTTTATCAAGAAAAATGAAGCTTAAATGTGTTCTTTGGAATGTATACTATAAGATAGAGCTGCTCCATTTTGCTCCTTTTGATATCCTATTGAAATAAATATTATTTAATAGCGGTCGTACGCGCGCAGTTGGATACTAGACTACGGTCAAATATACACACCGGGCGGAACAGGTAAAGGCTGTTTTCTCAGAAGCCATTGCAGATATCAACTTGAAACTTTTAGATGTTAAATGGTATATAGGGATTAACATTTTAGAATGTAAGACATTGTGGGGGTGAGTTCCTTAAGTGAGATGGCATATTAATTTTTCCATATTCGGAAAGATGTTATCAAACCTAACAACTTTTTATCTAAGGCATTTCTTTTTATTCTGCATAGTTAAGGAGTTATAGCGGAAAAACCTTACAGAAGGGGAATTTCGTGTCTGTGTCGAAATATATCAAATGATATTCGTGGTTTATGGCATGCTATTAAGCTATTCAGCCCGAGAAGCAAGAATAATTATAAATCTAACAAAGCAATTCTAACGATCTTCGTCAGGGTGTACTTTAAAACATACAAACAATAAATGAAAATACCATATTTTTGCAGTTGATTGTGCCATAAAGCGTTCTAAAGAAGATCTAACATATAAGGTAATTTATTGTTGTCAAATGTTATAAATTTTAAAAAATTTTTGGTTTTTCTTTACTTGAAAAGCATAACGGGAGATAAGCTCTTGACTCATTGACTGAAATGCTTCTCATTTTAACATTTTTCTAGCTTGTATTTAACTGCGAGGTTATAAAATGAAAATACAGAACAATTAAAAATGAAAAGTAAAACGAATAAAGTTTAAAAGATTCTAAATCCATTCCTTCATTCCATACACGCATCCCTCACATTCGCACATCACCTCCAATGCACACCCCTACTTTCGGGTTTTCAAACAAATTTCAAACAAAAGTTAATCAGTATTCAGTTGACAATAAATTGTGTTAATGAAAATTTACAAAAAAATTTTTATTCGATAAAAAATAAAGGTCACTACAATTTTTTTAAATAAAACCATATATTTTTTTATCTGCCAATCAAGGCATATTTGAATTCTCTTCAAAAAAGTATTGGAGAACTTAGGTCGAAAATTGATTAATTTAGAAATTATGATTTTTGTCCCGAACGCCCATATACTCGAAACACTGCGTCTCACCGAGATTCAAAGGGAATCTCCTAATTCTTACTCATGCGCTCAGGTTGCTCGAGCGTCACGGTGGTGACGTAGATATTTGGCGGAAAGAGCCGAACAGGCTTCGCACACGACAGAGCTACCGCTACACTTGTGTGAGAGCACAAGTACGGTATAGTGGGAGACGGCGATAGGTCGTAGTGGGGAGCCCAGCGCCCGCGATTCTGGCATCACTGCCCCCCTGGGGTGGGATTCCCACACTATCTCGCCTGTCCACTCTAGGAGAGACCAGGTGTCTTGGAGGCACCGATCCCACATTAATTATACCTAATTATACACATATATTGTAATATAGAAAATACTTTATTTTTAATAATGTTCAAGCATCAAGTATAATATAATGCCGTGCAGTTTTGCATGAAGTTATTTTGTGTGAGTACACAAAATTGTGTGGTGTAGGGTTCGATTAACCATCATGGAATTACGCGAATAAAGGCTGTTTCCCTCTTACCACATTCACTATGGACGTCTCGGATCTTGGATTTATTCTGCCGGATTCTGTCGCCGAGATTTATGGAAAGTTTGTTTCATGTGCTCTCGGTGTAATTCGATCGACTGTTTTGCTGAGCGTACATGCCTATTTGGATGTATTTCAGCATACAGTTTTGCTGCTGCATAAATGTCCTCATTACAGTGTCCGAGAATTAGAATCGCATCGACGCATACGCTTGGTGACGTAATTTTTCTCTTAATAATTACACTTGATAATTCACGATAGTCGATCGACAAAGTGATGTCAGACAAACAGACGACTGAAAATGTCCGCTGCCTTATTACTTATATATGTAAAGTGATTTTCGTTGTTTACAAACAGTTATTCTTGCGATCAACCGGTCATTTCGCAACAGACTAACAGTAATGCTTAGAAGTACTTAGTAGGAACGTTAATTCTCGTCTGTTTTAAAACTTTTTCGTCTTTGCGACTTTGGATTACTGAAACTTGTGCAACAAATGCTGAACTTGCTTTTCCTGTACTTTCTAAGAGTGGACTATATAAATTACAGAAGTAATAGATGTTGAAGTATAAAGAAATTTCAAACATTAATAATTATTTATCTTGTTATTATGTTAAGTTATAAATCATATTCTTGTCATAAAGGAGTAATAAAGTGGAAAAAACAGATATTAATATTAAGAAATGTTTGTCGATTCTACTCCGTTTAGTTGAATATTCCTTTATGTAAAAGGAATTATTATGGTATTACTAGCAGTTTTAATTTTCATTGTTTGTTATTATTTATTATTTTCTCTTATTAGACCTATAAGTAATCTTGAGAGAAATAATAAGTCTGCAACCGTAGTGGAAGTTCTTAATAATAAGGAAGTAATAGTGCAGGAGCGTCCTTATGATAAATTATCGAAAAAATATAAATTTGATAATGTATTTGAACCTTCTTCCAAACAGGTATATTTATTTCTACAATTAGAACATGTAGTTTTAAGTAAATAATATTTAATTATATAATTTTCAATTAACAGATTGAAGTATATAATATTGTTGTTAATCCATTGTTGGATGAAGTTTTGGCTGGATATAGTTGTACAGTATTTGCATATGGACAAACTGGTACAGGAAAAACATTCACAATGGAAGGAATTAACAGTGATTCAACTTTGCATTGGCAAAGTGTAAGTGATAATTCTTTTCTATAACATTATTTACATAATATGTACTCTAATATGTTGTCAGTAACATTCCTTATACTTGTATGTGTATTAGGTATTTGAAAACAAAAGTTTACCCACTATGAGTGTTTATAATGCTCGTTACATTTTTTAAAAAAGCTTAGTAAACATATTTTTGAAAATTGTAGTAAGAAAAGATACTACAATATTAAAATATAACATATAACAATATTACATGTAATTGTATAATTATAGGATTCATCTGCTGGTATAATACCAAGGTCTTTAAGTCATATGTTTGACAAATTGCAATTATTGGAAGCACAAGAATACACAATTAGAGTTAGTTTTCTAGAACTTTATAATGGAGATTTATTTGATCTTTTATCACCTAATGACGATGCAACTAAAATAAGGTACATATTACAAAGTATTTAAACTACATATAATTTTGAATTATTTAGTTATATTGTGATGCATTTTTTAATTCTATATTAAATACCCATTGAATAGATTGTATGAAGATACATCAAAGAAAGGTGCAGTAATCATTCATGGGTTAAATGAAGTAACAGTACACAATAAAAGTGAAGTGTACAAAATTCTTGAAAAGGGATCAGAAAAGAGACAAACTGCTGCAACATTGATGAACGCTCAATCTAGGTCATTACCTTTATTTTTTATTACTATTGAAATCTAATTTCACTTAGAAGTTGTATATTTCTGTGATTTTTAATATATTTTTATTAATATCAATATATAAAGTTTAATAAAATGATTATAGCCGGTCTCATACAGTATTTTCAATTACTGTACATATGAAAGAAAATACTACTGATGGAGAAGAAGTTCTGAAAACAGGAAAATTAAATCTAGTGGACCTAGCAGGTAGTGAAAATATTGGAAGATCTGGCTCTGTTGACAAAAGAGCAAGAGAAGCTGGTAGTATTAATCAATCTTTGTTAACACTTGGCAGAGTTATAACAGCTCTTGTTGAAAGGGCACCTCATATACCTTATCGGTAACAAAAACAGATATTCTATTTCTTTACAATATGAAGGCTAATATAAGTTGTTGCATTTTTATATCTTATATTGCACAGGGAATCAAAACTTACAAGATTACTACAAGAATCATTAGGTGGACGAACGAAAACATCATTAATTGCAACTATATCTGCTGCTAGTATTAATCTTGAAGAAACACTATCAACATTAGATTATGCACATCGTGCAAAAAATATTACTAATCGCCCCGAAATAAATCGGAAACTTTCGAAAAAAGAATTTCTTAAACAGTATACAGAAGAAATTGAAAGACTACGGAGAGACTTATTGGCAACGCGTGAAAGGGACGGTGTTTATCTTGCAAATGACAATTATCAAGAAATGCAAGCATTAATTTCTCAACAGACTAAGGAAATAGAAGAAAAACTTAATCATATAAAAGCACTTGAAAAAACTATGCAAGACAAAGAAGTAATTTACTTCTTAATACCAATTTTATTAATTATTTGTTATTGAATCTATATTTGGTTTTGTTATGTAGCTTTTTTTCTTTTTAGAAAATATATAACGAACTTGAATTACAAAATATAACTCAAATGAAAGAGTTACATGAAGCCAAAGTCAAATTAAATAGTGCTTCTAACGCTCTTAAATCGACAAATGGTCGATTAAAACTGGTAGCACAAGAACGGAATGAGCAAAAATATTTAGTAGAAAAGTATACAAATACAGAACAGTGTCTATTGCACCAAGCCCAAAATTTATTAAGCGTCGCAGATACAGCAACAGCAGATTCCCATAAGTTACATGATAAAATTGCTCGTAAGAGGTTCGTCTATTACATTTACATTTTTCTGATTAGCAAATATTAATTTTTACATTCCTAAACTATAAGAACATTATTTTTTAAAGACACGATTGCATGTTATGCGTTCCATAAATATGGTAAAATGAAACTTATTTTTTCAGTGAAACGGAGGAATCATTTGAAATGCTAGGTGAACAGTTTAAAAATAATGTTTCTAAATGTTTACAAGAAGTTGAAAAAGACATTTTAATGAATAAAGAACAATTAAAGCAGTTATGTACATCTATAAAAAATGACCTTGGTAACAAAAGTTTTATTATATCATAAACACTATCATAAATATTTATTGATTTTTATTATCATTGTACTCGTCAGGTATGCAAACTTCAGATAAATGTAAAAATATTGACACGACAATACAACGAATTTCAACAAATCTTCTTAGTCAACATTTGTCCGATACTAGTGATTTATCGAAAAATATAAATAAATCTGTACGTATTTATTATATTTCATAAAAATATCTTTATTTTTATGTAGTTTTATATATTTATGATTTTTTTAAACATTCCAGTATTCACATTATCAAAATTGGATGCAGGATGAAATAAAAAATTCAGGGAATGCAATAGAATCTGAACATGAATTACTAAGTATCGTTTCTGTAAAATTGGCGCAAGATATTGATAATATGATTGAAAATGCAATTGCTAAAAACTTACAAATCGTAAGAAGCAATGTATCTCAGAAATTAATGCAAACTTCAAGTACTATAAAAGAAATGGTAGATTCTGCTTGTAATTACGAACTAGAATCTTATGATCATATGATCAAAAATTGTAAAACTATTATGGAAAACATTGATGTGGTTCGTGAAAAACAAGAAGTAACTCAGAAACAACATTTATTTGCAAAGGTATAAAAAGTATAGTTTTATTATAACATTATTTATGATAAGTTTAGAGTTATTGAACCACTGTTTTTTAGACGATGGGAGATGTATTTTCCCAGTTCAATGACTTAAACAAAAGTGAGGAAGAACACTATTGTACTGTAATTGACAAATGTGATAATGTTAGTAACATTTGCAATAAAGTTAAAGATTGCATGATAAATAATTCTACTACATCTGTTAATGTGAAACATACTTTAGAAGAACAGATACAAAGTAACATTGAAACAATTAAAACTGATGTAATTCTTGAAACAAAACGGGTAATTTTCTAATTTAATAGAAAACACAATTTTGGTGTCATTTTCAAAGAATAATTTTTAAATATTAATCTATTATGTGCTCTATTTTATTTTATTAATAGAATGAAGAATTAGCTGACAGAACTACAGAACAAGGACAAAGTTTGATAAATGAATTGAAGTCAAGTATGAATAGAAGTTGTAATATATTGAAAGAATACAAGGATCTCGTTGAATGCAATATTAAAAACATGGAACCGAAAATAGATATCGATAAAAATAAAGTTCTTTTATTAGTTAATGTAAATTTAAAGAAAATCTCAAATTTAAATTGTGATGAAATACTAGAAATTAGTTTTTTTATGTAAACATTTATTTTTGTAGGATGCACATAATGTAACTTTAGATGCATGTAAAAATCATGAAGAATTCTTAAAAGACAGAAAAATCAAAGCTTCTGATACTTTTGAAGAAATATCCAAGAAATTGCAAAACCAAGAAATGGAATCATGCATATTAAATGATAAAGTTGTTGGACAATTGCAGGCAACGGTACATGAAATCAACAAATTCTTTAATCAAGATATACAACGTGATATTCCAACAGGTATTTTATTTTGTACAAGTTAATAAAAAAGAAACAGTTCCATAATTTTTTTTATTAACTTTTTTTTAGGGTCAACTCCTG